TGCTGAGGGTGAATTTAGAATTTGTATATATATATTTTTAATGAATTGGAATTATTCCCATTTGTAAGTGAATTTGTATTTGAGCAAATGGGAATGCAAATATATATATATATATATATATATACACAACTATGATGACTTCTGCTTCTGAGAAACCCAGAAATGTGAAATAATGAGTTGCATTAATTACTGTGTGGAATTAATAAACACTGTGAAATGTATATCATTTCAACAGTGAAATGATAAGATGCAGATCTCCAAACTTGAAACACACATCTTTTCAGAATAAAGATAATCCAGAATATGGATCTTAATGACTACATGTGGTCACTGAGACTGCAGAGTACAGTACATGCAGTACTTTGTTAATCTAAAACTAAGCCGCATATGGATTTCCAATATTTCAATCCTGTTTTGGCAATTGAACATTCCATGACCCATCATTTCAAAATGCTGTGGCAAGAGTTTTGTCAGGTTCAGTGATGCATGGAGCTTAAACACATCAGAAATTTCTGACAACAGTGGCAACATTTAGCTGCTTAACAGTGAAAAAGTAAGCTTTTCTACTTAAATATTTCAAAGATGACAAAGTAATAAGACAGAATTTATGCCATAAAGAAACAAAAACAAGTACTAAAATGCCAAGCTAGTGCCCGCACACACACACACACTACACACACACACACACACACACACACACACACACACACACACACAGAACTTTTCCACGAGATGCTGAACTATACACGATTTCTAACAACCTGCTAGCCTAAATGTGCTCTATTGTTGTCATTTCATACACACACATCAGTTCAGTGTACAGGTATCAGAGACAACAGACATAAAAGTTTGGTCCATTTCAACATCCATTGGACATCAGGGCAAGGGCACAGATGCTTCAGAGAATGCAACTCTTCTGAGGCCTTAACTATTAACACTGAGAGACAGGTATGTCAATTCTGATCATTGTTGCCAGCAGACATTTGAGTGTTCAGCAAAAACAAAAACAACACAGGAAGGATCCACAGCTGTTAGAAATCTAACCAGGACATGTTTACTGCTTCTGCTGAGGTTGGTGTGTACTGCCTCCGATGAGAATCATATTGCAGTTGTTCTAAAATTGTATAATAATTTTAAAAGTAGTTCAAACTTGAGCCTAATTATTCTTTTAAAAATATATATATACCAAGGGAAATGTTCTCTAATTTCACATAATTTTGCCCACACAGAGACGAACAAACACCATCAGAGTTATACACCATATATAACTCTGAATCTACCTGATAATAAAAATGAAAAATATACTTTTTTAACTATACAACATAAACAAATGTGATGGTTTATGTGCAGGGAAATACAACTTTATCAGTACATTGAGGTGACAAATCATCTTTTTACCTATACAAATATTTCAACAATAGTTTACCAATATTTTAGGCTTTCTACAATATTGTAAAATAAAATTACATGCTTGTTTTTGGATAAAATTTTTACTGTCTACACTTTCTTTTCTTTTTTTTACAATGTCAGTTTCAAGTCCAATCAAACTATTAGGGTCCCAAAAGCTATAGGCTATACCGTAAAAAGCCATAAACTGTTCACGCAGGACATCAGCAACTCTTTTAATATTTAAAAACCCTTACAGCTTTGTAAAATTCTCCTGTTGCAATTAACCCATTACTTTATATGCAGGGTGTAAAGATAAACAATATACAAAAGGAAACAACAAATACAGCAAGAACTGCAATGGGATCTTATTTGATTCTTAGCGGATCCTTCAGGATGTGTTCCAAATTATGAGGAATCCTGTAGGCTACACATTCCTATAGCCTATGCTTTTTTGACTAGTTCAGGCTATTTCAAATCAAAGCCTATGAGAAATCTAATCGAACACACAACGCATATTTGATGTAAATAACCAAATAAAAGCTTCTGAGCAACGCTGAACACTGAAATATTTGCCGTTGCGTTTTCACATTTCGCACTTCAGCACTTTACACAGCAACGGTCAGATTTCGACATGGTTTACAGGCACTCCACAGCTTTAATTCAAGAAATAAGACACACAGGTTGGTAAGCGAAACAAATGAAGTGATACCCACCTCTAGTTTGCATAAACTCGAGCTTTTGGACCGCGACTTTCCGCGCAGGTACACGGAAAACCATCTTCTCACCGTAAATTTGCGCATGTTCGTATCCATTGTCCCGGCTCGCCTGCTACTATCTTCAAATGACAATTTATCTGTCCAGCGTTTAAATCCAGATCAGCACAACAGTGGGGATTTACAGTCGCCTCCCCTCCACTAATCCATAATGCTCACTTATGAGGGGGTGTGGAGGCCATGACAGAGCCAAACCTGCAGGTTCGGGGACATTTGCGGACGCTGACCCGTCCCACTCGCGCGGGCTCGCCAGTTCGGTTGTAGCACGGCAGAGATGACGGGAGCTGTCCTCCTCAGAACCGCCTTCACACTCACGCTGTGCTGAAGATCCCTCCCCAATCACTGAGCTCCTTAAAGCTGAAGGCTGGCGTTTTTTTTTGTTGTTTTTTTTATGTTATACGAATTAGTTCTACCCCAAATAAAAATGCTGAGGGGACTATAAGAAAGCCATTCATATGTTAATGCCCCTGAAAAAAAAAATGCTGAGGCTCTATGGTCCTATCAAAACAATGCTCTGATTGTTGTCTCACCTTGTCACAATCAATGAGTAATTTTGGGGCAGAACTATGTTTTTCTGGCCAATGGAAAACGGGAGGAGCGTTTGGAAAAACTTGTCTTTGACTTAGTATTTTCAGAGTATGAACTTTCAACTTAATTCAACTTTTCAAATCTGACGGACGCTGCTCCTGCACCAAAACAAACAAAAAAAAAAAGGTACAAAAGCTGTCACTGGGGCGGTACCTTTTCAAAAGGTACACTTTTGTACCTATTAGGTCTGTGCACTTAAATTAACTTTGGATTTGTATGACTATATTTTGTGTACTAAAATCAAACTCACTGAACTGAATCAGCTCAAATGATTTTCTATTTTATTGCAGCATTTTCCTGTGATGCCTGGAGTGTTTAAAGCATTTATGCCAGGTAAATACTCTGACCGCAGCTCTTTTTAGCCGCAGGGGTTTTTGTGCTGAGAGCAAAGGCTAGATTGCAATGAAACAACCCCCCTCGAACAGTTTAGAGTTAAAAACATGTTGTGTTCTATAATAGTGGTGCTTATTTGATCTTGAAGTCTTTTAGAAATCGCATCATATGACCCCTTTAAGAAAGATACTGTTTTGGAGGTATAGACAGTTTATGACTTTTTGTGTTACATTTTGTGACATTGGGTTTGCAGGCCTGACTTTGAAGCAACCAAAACCAGTGACAGCAAAAGTGAGTAAAAGTTATATATTTTTTTCTTCTAAGAATATATAGATTTCAACAGTGTTTTAGTAAGAATAAGTTAGTCAGAGCTCATATTGGGTGAGTCAATAATTTAATGACCAATTCATAAAGACAGGTCACTTCAGGAACTTCATGCATATTGTTTTTATTTTATGGTTTTTATCCTGGCTTCACTGAATCCTGCAAAGTGTCATCCCTTCTTGGTGTTAGAGAAATGGCCACCCAAATTCAACTTTTATATCTTAATTGTATGCATTTTCTTAGTTCGATTCTTATTATGCTGTGTTTGAGTTGCTGGTGGAATAAACTATTTGCCCTGCATATGTATTGCTGCCAAAAGCCAATTAGCACAGTTAAATCAGCCTTGAGAAATGAAGAGGTCCTTGCATTTACAGGTGTCCCCTGCCCGCTGAAGTTGCAGTATAAAGGCCTCTGTACAGAACACCTGGGCTAAGTGGAGCATTCTGAAGCACACTGCGCTGTGTTAGGATGGAGTGTGTTTATCACAGCCGCTAATGTGTGTAATGGTGTGTAACTCCTGCTGTGGGCTGATGTGTCTGTGGGGGCTAGAAGTACACTGTCTGACTGTAATAGCCCTGAGGTTTAAAGATAAGGATGCTGTAAATTATCCTCAGCTCTGCAGTCAAGCAGCAAATGTAAGAAATGCTGCGTATGAAAATGCTATATTTGCTCATGCAATGATGTGTAGTTTGTTTATACCGAAACCAGTGTGCTTATTATTTTCCAAAGGTAACACGTGCCTATTTAGGGATAAATGCAAGCTTTGATTAATTACAGAAACTGTAAATAAGTGTGCATAAACATATTATTTCAGCAAAATTTAATTACAAAAAACAGTAGCCAGATAATAGTTTCCTGTCTGTCATGCATACAAAAAATAACACTGTATGGAAGCCCATTGTAGTCTAAAAAATATATATTAAAAAAAGGTAATTGCAACTTTAAATCTCACACATTAACTTTATTTTTCGCAATTATGACACAATTTTTAATTCTCCTATTTGCGACTTTATATTTCACAATATGCCGTTAACTTTATATATTACAAATACTACTTTATATCCAGTATCACACAATGTGACTGTATAATTATTATTATACATATTATGTCACAATTACTTTTTTATTTCTTATTCTGAGGTGGAAACAGACTTCAATGACACTCGCTCTTTGTCTTTTTTTTTTTCACACTTTACACAAAAAAATAAAGATTCCAAAAGGTGGTCTTTGGAGTGATGCCATAGAAGAAACATTTTTGTTCCCCAAACCTGTTAGTAAATAGTTCTTAACATAACCATTTTTTTCTGAGTGTAAAGAATATTTAAATAATAATGTAAAGAACCTTTTTCCACTCTAAAGAACATTTTGTGCAATGGAAAGGTTCTATGGATGTTCATAGAACCATCAATCAATGCCAATAAAGCACCTTATTGTATATACAGGAAAAAAGGGGTTAAATTCAAATTTGGATTACAACTCTACATCCAGTTTGCTGCCTCAATACAATTCAGGAGCTGAATCGGAATTTCAAGGGACTTCTCAATTCAGTTGTGAATGCTGCACATCCATGAGTGATGGTGTTCTGGCATGAGATAAAGGCCCGGAAAGAACTTCACCCGCTGTGTCTGTCACTGCTCCATACAGGTTATCTTGGTGCACTGCTGCTTCCATTCATATTGAAAGTAATCCATCAGACAGGAAAGAGCTGTTTAATTCAGTCGTTTTGGCATAATCTCTGTCTCTCTCTCTCAGTGTCTAAGAGAGAGCGGAAAAGTGAGACAGGATGGATGCAACAGCAGACATTTATTCTCATACACTCACTGTTACGTTTCTATCCGCAATTGCTGTCAAGGTCAAAGCCAAGGTATTATGTCAATAATTGTGCTCTCTCAGAACAAAAGGTGCATGAGTGGACAAATCTAGGACTTCAAAGAACACATTTATCCCTTTCCAGTAACTGTACCTTGAAAAGTAGATGAAGACTTTTCATGATACCTTTTAGGCGTTTATTTTTTTTCAGAGAGGTGCATAGCTGTAGTCATTTATGGGTTTAAAAGTATCTGATGCAATAGCGTGGCCGCTTTATAAAGGCACATGAGTAATTAAATAATAAATACAAACATAAATAAAGAATGTTTCATGTAAGATAACACATAAATACATCTCTAAATAAATAAATACTAAATTAATTGCATAATAATATATTTTCATAAGACACCATGTAAATACGTGACTGGTAACAGATATTGTACAGATTTATATATTGTTTGGTTTTACTGCATACAAATGTTGAAAGGAAATTTGCTTTCAATTTCTATCCATAAAATGTTGACGATATAAAGTACACATATGCGATAGATAGATAGATAGATAGATAGATAGATAGAAGATAGACAGATAGATAGATAGATAGATAGATAGATAGA